GGCACCGCTCCCTCCCTCCACCAGCACTGCCACTCCTGCAGGCACACTGTATATATGTGTATATATACTGTATGTCTATATAGATCTATTCTCATTTTTTGTTTGCTCATATATAAATATATTTGTGTGTGTGCGTGCGTGCGTGTGAGCCAGGAGAGAGAAAGTCAGGAAAGAGAAAGAGGAGAGAGCAAGGAGAGACAGCCAGGAGAGAAAACGAGAAATGGCAGCCAGGAGAGAGAGAGCGAGGGAGGTTTTTTTTCGTTGGTAGATCTCATGTAGCGCGTCATTTGCAAAGTAGATCTCAACACAAAAAATTGTGGGCACCCCTGTTACAGAGAATACAGAAGTGATTTTCACTTTTCCATAACAGGAGGAGTGAGACTTCTAGGCAGGGGAAGTACACTCAAGAACTGATTTTGTGAGATCTGTCCACTGAAGTCTTTATGTATTAAAAATAAAAAAGTAGGTGATTCAGCTTGGCAGCTTCTGACAAAAACTGAATTATCTTCCATGGGTGGACTGACCTTTTACATTTTAGCCTCCAGCATAAATTTTCTCCTTGTTGGAAAACTCTGAGTGACCTCAAATGCACGTTGCTTTATTTAAGAGTTCCTAACCACATTCACAAATATACATTAAAAAATCCCATTCTTATAAATGTAATATTTTACATATTGAAAATATACTTTTGTTTTGCTAATATTTTAAATGCGTGCTATAATGCATTTACAATGAAGAAATTAAATCGCAGTCTAGTTATCCATCTGTTATACAAATTTGAAATATGGGTAGTATGAGGTGTCCACCACTTAGACATTATCAGGGCAAAGCATCAATGTCCATGTATAGCCAACTCCCAACCACTTTGCACTCGCTGTTCCTGTGCTCATTCTACTGCCACCATAATATTGTGCGTTGGCTGGTATTGGAGCTAAAGGAGAGCAGTGATGTCACCTCTTCCATCATCTAACTTTGATGACACCTACCGATTGTCCACCATGCTTGAATGCTGCTTCATGGGGGCAAGCCACATGCTTTTCCATATCTCGAAATCTGAATATCTTGCAGTGGTGACTTTAAAAGTAGATGCAGTAAGGGAGCGCTGGACAGGTGGATAGAAAGTGGTTGAAGGGCAAAGACGCAGTTCACTTTAATGCAGACCTTTCCAGCAGATTACACTTGCATTCTTTTGTTTTCGCACTGTTCCACTCAACCACTGGGATCGAGAGGGAAGTTGTCGGTAGTAGCTTACAGATTACTGTGGACTCCTCTTGTGACAGTGCTGACTGGCCCAGAACTGTTGCATTAGGTGAATCGCATGCTGCTCCATATCCAGAAGTGGTGGGCATTTTCTCTGGTTCTTGATGCTAAACAGAGCAGCGGGGCAGCAAGTGAAGGGTAGCTGTACGATAATGTAGAGGTGGATGAATTCATATGGAATAGCCAGTCTGTCCAGTCCTGAAGCCGGCAGGATTTTTTAGGAGCCAGCTCCACTGACAAGTAAAGAAAACCTCAAAAGTTAGGCACCAGCTGTAATTTGTAAGGAGCATTTGCTACCTGGCTCCTGGGATTTGTTTAGCCCTGCGCTGATGTGGATATTAAAGGTGCTGAAAGCACAGAGTGGGCAAAGCACAGGTTTTCTTTAAGTATGTGTAACCAATATATGTTTTACATGTACTGTACATACTGATTTGCCAATCAAAAAATGTTGGCATCTCCATAGATTTCTCTGTGTAATATTTAAAATAGAGGCTGTTCTTGGAAGGAGAAAATAGGTGCCGCACACTTGCCTATTACCACAGGAATATCTACGGCATTTCTTCTGTACAGATGGTGTAGGGTGGTGCTTTAACGCGACCAAGCACAAATGTTAATATGGGCCTTCAGCTCACATGTAGAGAGAATCCTACTGCATCCCTTGTACACTGGAACACAGAACTGCTCCTCCATCATTCAGCCACTCCCTTTCCAGCCACCCACGTATGTGCAAGCATCATTCCATTGCCACTTTCTCTTCGTTCCTCCATCATCCCATTCTGCCCCCACACAACATTTAAATGGCATTAATCATGTTTGGAAGGCACAGCAGGGTCTCGCTGTGTCACACTAGTCCTTGCCGTACAATTGACACGGAGACAGGAGATGCTGCCCGGCTGTACAATCTCCATGCTGGAGGCTTGCCTTATTGCTCCCAGCCAATCCTTCTGCATCTCCGTAAATCCCTGGTTTCCATAGCAACTCCGAGATCTCTGCATGCTTGTGCTGCTGTTCAATGCAGATCATATCAGCAGATAGCAATTTATGTGTACATAAGTCAGAGACCAAGTGCTGTGTCTCTATGTAAAGTGACCAGACCTTTCCTGCCAGGAACACTACATGTGTGCAAATTAAACGCATATATGTCTATATGTGTTTTACCTGTGAGATGCATTTTTTTTTCTCTGATTCTTGTGTGACTACATTATAATGTAATGCAAAAAGTGTACCTGTCGATGTTATACATGTTGTACTTTCCAGATTCATTCAAAGCAGCTGCAGACTTGATGTTTGTCTATAACGAACTGGGGGGAAATAATTGATTCCACATATTGGTGTTCAGCGCAAAAGAATCCTAGCACAGCAGAGATGAGTATGCAAGCAAATGGCAAGCAAGTCTGCTTTAGTTGAGAAATAATGTTAGGATAGGGATGACAGAGAAGGGTAGGTTTACAGGGATGTTTAGTATAAGTGGAGTTTTGAGGTCATCATACTCTGTGCCAGTTCCATTGTCAGTGTGCTTCTATTTAAAGCCTATGGGGGGAATTCATCAAAACTGGAGCAGACAGAATCTGAAGCAGTTGTCCAGGGCAACCAGTCAGCTTCTCTCTTCAGTTTGTACAGTTAAGATTTGAAAATGAAAGAGAGAAGCTGAT